GTACACACATACATGCCACACACACACATACACACACACAGACCACTACATACACACACATACACTACATACACCATACACATGTATATACCACATACCACACACACAGATACATACACACAAACACCATACACATACACACATAGACCACACATATAAATACCACACATAGACCACACATACCATACATACATACCCATACACAGACATACACATATACTACACATACAGATACCACACATACAGATACAAACACCACACACTTATACACACATATACACACCACACACACACACATGTACGATGTTAGCAAAGAAAGAAAGCTTGGTCTTTCATCCCTACTCTCCAGGACTGGCTAAGGCATCACTTTTCACACTGTTGGAGGACAGATCTGTTAGCCACGGTCCCTTTCCCCACTTCCCTAGACCCAGAAGCCACAGTCAACTTGGATGAATAGGTCCAAAGTCAGAACATCTGCTTCTGGGCCCAGATCTTTCTGCTACTGATTTGGAAGTGAGTGTCGGTTGCCCAGTCTTTTTCCTCTGTGGACAGGACAGTGCAACAGGAATAGTCGCTTCCATTTCTGGGGATGGAGCTCAGTTTCCTGTGCATGCCCCTCAGTGGAGCTTTTAAAAATATTATTCTTTACCTGGCTAGGTGGCACACGTCTTTTTAATTCAGTACTTTCAAGGCAGAGGCAGGTGGATCTCTGTGAGTTTCGAGGCCAGCCTGGTCGACATAGAGTTTCAGGTCAGCCAGGGCTACATGGTTGAGATCCTGTGTAAAAATTAAAAACAAAATGATCTGTTTGTTCTCAGGGCTGGAAAGATGACACAGAGGTTAAGTTGTTCTTCCAGGGGGCCCTGATCCAGTTCCCAGCACCCACACTGGGGCTCATATCCGTCCATAGCTCCAATTCTACGAGACCCCATGGCCCAGTCCCATGGCCCCTTCTAGCTTCCATGGACACTGCATATGTCATTCACAGACAGGCATGTAAGCAAAACACCCATACACAACCAAACGAAACATTTTTAAAAATTCCCAGTTTCATACATAGATAGGACATACTTTGGCCATATTCCTCTTGGTTTTCTCTCATTTCCTTTCCCTTCCTGCTGAATCTCCCTTCTTAGTAAGTACCCTTCCTACTTTCATGTCTTTATGTATATATGTATTTTTGCAATCCACTGAGTTATAAAAAGCTTTAATATATACATATATACACACATGAACATATATTTATGTGTGTGCATTTGTATGAGGGGTCTGTGCATGTGAATGCAGATACCCAAAGAGAAGAAGCATCAAACTCCCCTGGAGTTAGAGTTATAGGTGGCTGTGAGCCTCCTAATGTAGGTGCGAGTCGAACTTGGGCCCTCAGGAGGAGCAGTACATGCCCATAACCACTGATCCACCCCTCCAGCCCTGACCCACTGAGTTTAAGCAGGGTTGCTTATAGGAACATAGGTGCAGCTACTTACTTGAGCAAGGGCAACTTACCAGAGTCAACGCCACGGAGGACCATGACTCCCTTCCCCAGCCCCCTTCGACTACCTGTACCTCTCAGTTGCATCCCAGGAAATCACTGGAGTTCCTAATTGCCAGATGAGAAAACTGAGGCTCTGCAAGCACATCCCTGGAGTGAGGCGAGGAAGCTTTGTGCTAACACCTGGACTCCATCCAGGGAGCCTGAGCCCAGCGCCTTCGCTGCACTGTATACGGTCCTCCCTAAAATAGCTTTCATTTTATGGAGCACGTGCTATTTTCCAGGAACTGTGCCCAGCACTTTGCATCCATTTATCTCCTTCAGTCCTGGCTCCTTCTCAGAATCTCACCTTAAACATCACCTCTTTGCCTTGTTTTCTGGAAGCTTCTCAACAACTCTCCCCTCCCCCACTGCCTTACTCACAACCATAAAATCCTCCCATCCGTTGACTGTCTGTGATGTCCTCCTCTCTGTTTTTAGATTTCTGGAAGATTGGCTTTCCTGGTGTAGCCCATGTAGGTGCTCAGCAAATCATGGCTGCCTGGCACATAGCAGAAACAAGAAATATTTGTTAAATAAATGAATGGATGTTAGCACATGCCTGGACTATATATGTTCTTCCTAACTGCACTGGACAGATTGAGGAAACAAGGCACAAGGACGCAGTAGTTTGCACAGAGCCCCAGAGTCCATGAATGATGAACATGGACTATGTAGGAACACACTATGTAGGAAGACCCCGGCTCTTCCTTAACCAGGCTGACAGGGGTCCTGTCGATGTTTTCAGGCTGTGGACCTGAGCAAGAAGGAAGGCTTTTGGCTGCTCTGACTCTTCTTTCTCCATGAGACTGCAGAGGTTTGGACCCCCAAGGAGGCCAGGCTGACAGGATTAGAGGAAACAGCTGGCTTGAGCCCCATGCCCTGCAGGAGGGAGCTCACATTCCCCAGGGACTCTGGAGGGGGCAGCTCCTCACAGCCCAGTCACATTCCAGGTCAGTCATTTTCCTGAGCCCAGATGTTTGCTAATGAGCTGGGGAGAGGGGCATTTGGCTCTCAGCTCTGGGCCCCACTTTACCTTGGCCCCAAGAGACTGGCCCAGGGCCAGCAGGCTCTGGCCATGAGCCCATGCCCTGTGCCAGCCAGGCCTGCCTGGGCAGCTGGAGCTGTGCTGCCAACCAGGTGTATCTCCTGGAGCTTGGAGACTCTGACTTGACAGGTTCTGCCTTTCTTGCTGGGGACCCATTATTCTGGATCTCAGGGGTGCAACATCCCAACGGGAGGGGCTCTGAGGCAGCCAAAAGTGTGTGGTGAGCACAGGATCCTGGGCTGTGCAATCTAGCCTTTGTCAGTCACTATTAATGTGGTCTTGTGTGGGTGTGGTGGCTAATGATACTTTTGTTCTCACTAGTACAATGGGAGCAATGGGATTGTGGGAAAGAGTAGATGAGATACAGCAGACTGCTTAGCTGGGTATAAAATGGTAGCTGCTCAAAGATATTGAGTCCCTTCCTAGGCAGGCCCTCTACCCACACTGGAGCTTCCTGTCATCACTGCTATGTGATGTAACTCATCTTCAAACCCCATGTCCTTGATCAGGTGTCTAAACCTGCTCTGGAACCTTCCTGTGTTTGAGAGGGTGCTGGGCTGGGATTCCAGCCTTCTCCAATGGTTGTACGTGTGATCTGACAAGCACATTACTCCACAGAGCTTCCTACAGGGTGGGAGTAGATCCTTTTCTATTTGCTTAGTTTCAAAATTACATTGATTGATTGATTGTGTGTGTGTGTATGTGTGTTCACACTTGTGCCATAGCTCATATGTGGAGGTCAAAGGACAGCTTGGAGGAGTCAGTTCTCTCCCATCATAATGGGTCTTGGGGATTGAACTCGGGTTGTTAGGCTCAGTTGTCAGTGGCCTTACTCACCTAGCCATCTCATCAGCTCCTGTACTGTTTGAGCCAGGGTCTCACATTGCCTAGGTTAGCATGTAATTAGTAGAAGCTGGTCTTTACCTTCCAACTGTGGGGATTACATGTCTGCTGGGAATGGGTTGGCTCAAAGAATCTACAGAATGTAGACATCCACTCTTGTCCTGTCCAAGGTCTGAAGTGAGATGGCTGGCAAATTTTGGCTGTAAAATGACCTATACATGCTACAGTGTAGCAAGGCTGGTTTCTGCAGTGTGTGGTCCTCCAAACCTTAGCTTCGAACTGTGTAACTTTTTGATGAACTACTTAAGTTGTCTCTGAGCCCTGTGCATTTCTTAAATGGGAGATAACACTGAAACAAAATGAAGGGCCCTGCCCTCAGAGGGCTGATGGAGATTAGCATGAACAGATGTATCCCCGGCTGCAAGATCACACCTGGAGGAGGAGGAAACCTCTGTCACCCCGAGGATCTTGGGAGTTTTCCACCCGGTAGATGAAGGATGCATTGAAGGGGAGATGAAGGGAGGCAGAAAATTCCAGGCTGAAGGACAGCACAACCGCTGGAGTTGCAGAGCAGATTCCCTAGGGCAGCCATGATGTTACCACTAGGCCACTAGGAGGCCTCTTTGCCACTCCCCACTCTCTATGCTCGGTAACTTGGAGACATCAGGTGAGCAGGACTGAATGCAGACGAATTGCCTAAATAAAAGGGCATGTATAACGGATACAGCTAGATCCCCAAGTCTCACCACTCTGTTATATAGTGCCCTGGGCTATCACCTTCAAGGAGCAAAGGCGGCCCCACGACCTTCTTCCTCTTCTTTGTAGGGTGGCCTGGAACTTACTATCTAGTTGACCCTAGGCCTTGCGTGGGCACCACTAAACCCATTTTATGTGATGCTGGGGAGAGAGGCCAGGGTGAGCTACAGCCCCAATCCACAGCTCTCTTCTTACTTGGATGGACCAGTCTACACCAGCGCAATCCACCTTATTGGATTTAGGTAGCTAGGCTCTCCCTGAGGGGAACTACACTGTCCCCTCTTCAGGGAGCCAGAGCGAGTCAGTTTTGGCCTCTCAGACCTTTCTCTGGATGCCCCGGCTAAGTTGTTTGGAGGCAACTGAAGGTCAAGGGGCAAGGACACAGCGCAGATCAGAATCCAACCTCCCGAGGAATGATCGGGCACAGCTTCGGATGGGCTCCGGATGTTGGAACCCCCAATAGGCTGGAGCGCCACACTCAGCCCGTGTCCACGGCCGGGCTCCCACTCCAAAGGTCCACTATTGTCACTCCAAGGCCTGGCAAGACCTGACAGTCTAGGAAAGCCAGGCAGGGAGGAATCAAAGCCTGGGAAGCGGCCGGGCGCCTGGCTCCGTGCCCTTTCATCTCTGTCCCGGCCGTCGGGGAGCGGGGCCCATGGCCCGGGCTCCCCTGCTCGCGCGCGGAGGGAGCGGCCCTCGCTCTCTCGCTCGCCCGCCCTGCCCGCGCGTCCCTCCCCTTGCTGCCGCTGCCCCCGCCCTCACTCCCTATTTGGAGCTGAGACACCCTGACGTCGGAGGCGCTCGGCCCGCCGCTCCCCCGCGCCTCGCGCCCGCCCGGGGCCGCAGACGGCCAGCAGCGCAGCCCAGCCGAGCCTCGCGGGGCCGCCCCAGCCCGAGGACCCCGGGCCTGCGACCCCCGCGGCTCGCACCCCACTTTCTAGGACCCCTAGGAGGACGCGCCGCGCTCCCCGCGGCCGCCGCGCGCGGTAAGTCTCGCCCGGGCCCGCACACCGGAGCGGGGCAGCCGCAGTCCCTTTGCTCCCGCGATCCGCAGTGTCTCCCGAGCCCGGCAGTTTCTCTCCGCTCCCCGCCAGCCCGCGACCCCGGCACTGCGCAGCCCGGCGGCCAGCCCGGCGCCTCTGATCGTCCGCGCTGGGGACGTGGGCGCGGCTCCCGGGTGGCCAGGGGGCACCGGCGGCGTCCGGAGCCGGTCGCCAGCCGCGCCCCGGGGCTCCGTTTCTTGTAGGAGTTTCACCGCCAGGACTGCGAGTAGGAGGGAGAGCGTCGCCCGGCAGGCGCCAGGCAGCGCTGGGACATGGGGCTCATGCGTCCTCTGGATCTGTCCCTTCCTAGCTGCTGCTCATTCGGTCCCTGTCTCCCATCCACAGGTCTCTGGCTCTCCATCGCTCCATTTCCGCCCCCGTGCTTTCTTAGTTCTGTCCCTCCCGCTGTCCCTCTCGCCTCGATTTTCACTTTCTCTGGGCTTGTGTCTCTGCTTTCGTGTTGTCTGTCTGTTTTCTCTCGGTCACAGAGAGCCTCCCTGACCTCTACTCTCCAAATCAAAGCATCCTGCCCCAGCTTCCGAGGCGCGGTCCCACAGCTGGGCTCGTGGAGAGTGCCTCTGGCACTACAAAAGACCCCAAATCCTCCTCTTCCCTGCTCGAAAGTCTGGCCGGTGTCACCCACCCCCACTTGCAGGGGCAGAGAGGGAGAGAGAGAGAGAACAAGAGCGAGCGCCCGCCTGCCTGAGCTAGCTGGCGTTTCCAGCGGGTAGAGCCTTGTAAGCATTCCACCCCAGTGAGGCAGTGTTCACCGCAGGGCTCCGCTGCCGGCCACCTGCCCTCCAGCCGGTTCTGGCTCCCGGGCCAGGCGATGATCTTTTACAAGCGTCACTAAAGGGGGCAGCTGCTTGCCTTGGCCTGGCTGGGGATGGGGGAGGGGGTGGGGGTATCAAGGGGGAGAAAGCCACATTTCCAGGCTTTCCAAGACCTTTGCCCAGCTGGAAGCCACCAGCCTGAAACTCGGAACACCCCAGGAAAACAGCCTGTTGGCACCGGCTGAGGGTGGGGAAGTAAGTTGTCAACAGGCAGCCCCCCACTCTTTGTCACTGAGCAGTCAGCCTCCCGAGACTCCCACGGATGCTGGAACTATTTGGGCGGGTTTGCCTTGACTTAGAGCCAAAGAAGAGACAAGGCTGGGGCGTTTCCTTGGTGACCCCCACCGCTCTCCACCCTTCCCTGAAAAGCCAGACCTCTCTTCTGGGCCTGTGTGTTGGAGGGGTAGACAAGGGAGTGGAGGCTGTGTCTTAGCCAGAGGTACAGCCTCCTTTAAGTGAAATTTCAGCTCCTTCCACCTACTGGCAACCCCAGGGGTCGGAGGCTGTGGGGTGGGCAGGGTTGTTGGTGAGATCTGAGGGGAACTTCTGTTGAGCAGATGTGTAGGCCTGCCCTGCAGCCGGTAGTTAGCATACATTTGTTTTGGAGACTGTTTCTGGTCTATGGGCAGAAGGGTCTGTGGGGCCTGACTGTTTGCATAGGAATACCCAGAGCTGATAGGTGGAGCTGCCTGGCCCTAGGAGGTAGGCCCGGATGGCATGGGGCAGACCCTGGGTATCAACCCACACCGCACAGTTTGTTCAGGCTTCGCCCTGAAGCTGAAGGAAGGAAAGTCACCCTGTGGTGCTCCTGGGGTCATGGAATCCTTGTGGCCTTGAGCGGCACACTGGAGCCAGACTCTCCCCAAGGGACTCTACTAAGCCAGATGTTCCCAGGCTATGCCGACGTCTATTTCACAGGTGGTAAGTGTGAAGCGTACAGAGGTGAAGTACAGGTCACTGACACGGTCCGTATGAACAGCCCTGCCCCTATGACACTCATCCTGGGATAAGGCTCTCCCTCAGCACCCAGGAATCCGGAGCTGGGCCGGGCTGGTGTGAGCCGAACCTCAGGCCCGGTACTGCTTTGCCCCCTCCCCAGCAGCGTTTTTCAGTTGATCCATTCAAGGAAGTCCCTGTACTCATTCCAAGACCTGGAGGATTGCCCCACCCTGCTGATCCCCAAGCCCAGGGCAGCGGCCACAAGCACCACACCCTCTCCACCAGCCGCATGCGCAGTGGGCACTAGGCATAGCCTGCTCTCTCCGTAGCTAGATCTAGAAGGGGCTACACTTTCAGGGCCCCTGTCTTCCGAAGGGGTAGTTTGGTGAGGTCTTGCCTCAGCTCCTGCCCTGGCAAGTAGTTGTGTTAGCGACACTTGGCAGCTTGTGAAACCGTTCCCAGTCATCCTGCTGTTTGCTTAAGTTTCAACTCAAGGTATCCCCTAAATCCCTATCACTTGGCAGATGCTTCCCGGATTGAGAAACACTCAGGATTAAACTGGATCTAGAGGGAGGAACAGAGGCTAAGATGGATACGAGGCCCGGGGTGAGGGCAAGCCTTTGCTCATGGTGACTTCCTGAAGCTGTAACCCCACAGTGACAACCTTATATACACTCTTCAGTTTAGCTCTTACAGCTGCCTGGGGGAGTGGCCTCTATTCTTCCCACATTACAGATGAGAAAACCGAGGCACACAGATCTTCGAGTGTTTGAGCAGAGATCGGAACCTGAGCCAGCGGTAGTTGTGGAGAGTGGAGGAGAGACTCTGTGTGTGTGTGTGTGTGTGTGTGTGTGTGTGTGTGTGTAAGCCTAGGGGCTGTGTGGGTACAATCTACCTTGAAAAATCCTTGTGGAGGTTGAATGGTCTTGACTTTTCATATTTTGCAAAAGAAGAATTTAGGGGCCAGGCATAAGTGTTTCATGACTTTAATGTCAGTACTCGGGAGGCAGAGGCAGAGAGTTCTCTGTGAGTTCAAGGTCAGCCTGGTCTACATAACGAGTTCAAGGACAGCCAGAGGCACAAAGTGAGACCCTGTCTCAAAATTAAAAAATAAAATAGAAAATAAAAAAAAGGAGAAACTGGGGGGAGAGAATTATTCCCTCCACACTTCAAGTCACCCCTTCACTGTACAAAAGGCTAAGGCTTTAGTGGGTGGTATTGTCGGGAGCTAAGTCCTTGAGTGCTAAGTCCCATTCTGCTATAGGCATTAGAACCCAGTTGTGCAACTGAGGGGACTCTGTCAGTCATGACATTAAGAGGCTTTTTTTTTTTTCCTGGTAAGCGGGAGGTGGGTCACAGCTCCTGACCTGGCTGGACCTCAGAGTCATATGGGGAACACAGATAGATGCCTGTTCAGGCCATACCCCCGAGGGGTTTGAATGGTCTTTGGTGGTTTGATTTTGCAGGCTAGGCCCTGGGCTTCTACCTCTCTGGCGAGTCTCAGAGTAGCTGCTAGAGTCCAGCAGGTGTGCTATGAGCTAAGCCCTGTGTATTCAGAGCTCCACCCCCTGGCATTCCTGAAGGGCCCCATGAGTCAAGGGCCAGGGAAGCTGCCACAGTGCTCTCTGCCCCCTTCCTGCCTGGGAGAGATGGACAAGCTTCTTCTTGGCCTGTGTGAGATTTGTGGGACACCCTGTGGATGTCACCCTTTCTGTTTGAGTGGCAATTCAGAAAAGGCAAGGCGCTCCCTATGGAGAGCTGGAAATAAAGTCTATACCTGTCAGAATCTAGAACCCTGTGAGGTTCACTAGACATATCCGCCCCATCCCCCGGTCTGAGGTGTAGCCAGGGTGGGCACCTGTATAAACCCCGCCTGTGCTAAGGATGCTACTGAACTCCCATCGGGGACACACTTCTCACTTATCCAAACCCCAGGAACCAGGTTCTGTTGTGACCACATGCTCATCTTTGGGGATCCAGGAGTGGGGCTCAAACTCTTGTCTGTGGAGGCAGGCTTCAGATGAGGCAGTGGCCAAGCACCAGAGTTCTGACAGGGAGAGGAGGGCAGCCCCCAGGATACCCCGAATCCCATCCCAGCTCCCCACTCCCTGGACACCTGTCTCTCCATTTCTTGCTTTCCCTTTTTCTCACTTCCGTGACCCTTCCACCCATGAAGGTAGCTGCCAGCCTACCTGATTTGCTCAGGATCGAGACTTGACTTTCCCTACTGTCAGGACATAGAAGCTCACACAAATTCCAGCTGCCCCGTGTGTGTTCCTGTTCTTCATGTAGAAAGTGGAGGAGATGGGGCCTGCCCCATTCAGTTATTGTAAGTTGACATGGGACAGCATTTTGAACAGTGGCTGCAGTTAGGACCCACATTTCCCTGCCAGGCAGGAGAGAGCTTTGGGGCGATATCCCCTCTTCTGGTCTTTGCTCTAGCAGCAAACTCTCAGCCAGGAACTTCCTCCCTCAACTTCCACTTGTACCCCCCCACACACACACACTCAGGCATGTCTGCATTTCCCCTGTGGGTAAATGAAGGGCCCTCCGGCCACACCCTCCCTTCTCTCTCACCTTCCTCGAAGGGACCAGAAAGGGTTTGCCAGCTACAGGGAATGAAACAGCCCACGGGAGGGCATGGGTCTTCTCTGATGCTGGAAGTGTCTTGGGACAAGCTCTGCGGAGGCTGGGTGTTGATTGGACAGATGACTGACTGACTCTGGTCCTGCCCTGGCTCTCTGGCACTCTGCGTGACCTTCAGGGTGGAAGGCATGAGAAGCTGGGTGAGGCTCTGAAGGCCCAGGAAGGGAAAGTCCAACCGCTGCTTAGACACAGATGAGCCGAGCTGCTGGTTGAGAACACAAACAAGTAGAATCAACAGATTAAACCTGCGCTGGTGGGCGGAGGGAACCATGGCCTCTGGGTAGGGTGTGAGGGGCAGAGGAGGGGCTTTCCTAATGGAAAATTTAGCCTTCCTTCTGACACTTCCCAGGTTCACTCATGATCCCTCCTGGAAAGTGAGCTGGTGTTGGTTGGGTGCTGGGTGCTGAGTGCTAGATGCTGGATGCTGGGTGTTGGAATACTGGGTGCTAGATGCTGGGTCCTGGGTATTAGATGCTGAGTGTTGGATATTGGGTATTGGATAATGGGTGTTAGATGCTGAGTCCTGGATATTGGAGGCTGAGTGCTGGGTATGGAGTGTTGAATGCTGGGTGCTGGAGGCTGGGTGTTGGATGCTGGCTGCTGGGTGTTGGATGTTGGGTATTGGATACTGGATGCTGGGTGCTAGGTGCTGTCATAAGAACCTCGCAGTTGTGGCAAGGAGCTGTGTTTCTGTGTTTCTCCTTTACACAAGGGAAGCAGGCTGTGACAGATTAAACTCTTTCTTACAGCCACACAACTCCTAGGCTACAGAGTTCCAACACTGGGAACTCTAGGGACAGAGGGTCGGTCTACTGGTGCTCTGGGTGTTGTCCTGGGGAGCTCAAGGGTGATCCCAGTGTTCTGCTCCCAGGTCTTGGTCAGGGTCTGGTGGGTTGGAACATACCATTCTTCTGAAGGGCATGGCTAATCCTTGTTCCCCACCGGGCACCTGAAAGATAAAGGAGGTGTTTTGCTAACTCAGCCTAACTCATTTCTTCTCAACTTCTGCCAGCTCCAATAACAGAGCCTGCTCTCTGGGCCAGGGACACTGCAAATGTCCCCAGGTAGCTTCATGGTTAACCTCCAGGCTGATCTCCACTTTAGCCCGTCCGATATTGGTTGGCAGCCTCAAACCTCACCTCTCCAAGTTCGACTCCTATGTCCATCTCTTGACAGCTGTTGATCCTCAGAGCTCAGAGCTCAATCCCAACTCCTACTGGGACTTTAGCTTCACTTCCTCCCTGGGTCTTACCCAATCCCTGCCTGTCATGGCCAAGAAAGTGTCACAGAGTCAGGTGACATAGCAGAGACTTCTCTGATGCTGAGAGAGGGCTAGTCCAGCACAGGGAAGGCTCAGGAGCTCTGGTCTTTTTCTACAGGTTTTGGAACACGTTAGAAGGCCAAGGCCAGACACTGGCTCAGGCTAGTTCCTGAGGGACGGCAGGGCCTCTATCAGGAGCAAGAGGCTGAGGCTGTTGAGTAGCAGCGGGATGAGTCCAGAAGGTTCCTTTAGGGTGTGCTTGCTCTAAAAATGTAGGTTTGCTGTAGATCTTGTCGATGAGTCTGGATTGTGTAGATCACAGAAGAAAGTTATTGGGGTCCAGGCACACTGTCTAGCCCCACCCCCAGCTGTACCCATCCCTGTCAAGCCAGGGACAGAGATCATCTTCAGGAACCAAGATGTCTCAGCTGGAGGAGCAATAGCTGGGAAGAGGGGGAGCGCTCGATGACCCTCCCTGGCATCCCACTTTCCCTCAGCGCACCCAGATTCTCTCTGTCACCTCCCCAGACACTTTGCAAAACACCTGCCTCTGCCACCTTCGCCACTTTCCGGGGTAGGTCCAGCACGTGGCTTCCCCACTCCTGGAACCTAGCTTCCAGAGGGCTGGAGGAATATATCTCTGTTCCTCTGCCCCACAGGCACGCTCGTCCAGGACTCTCTGGGGACTGTACGAAGACACAGTTCCCAACTGTCTGAGCTGGGTATATTCCCTGACCGGACCTATCGGAACCACCCTGGGAAAGTGTGAATCCTATCCTAGCTGGGAGCTTTCACACCGTAAGTCCCCAGGGAGTTCTGATACACTATCAGGTTGAAAGTGCCACTTATGTTACAGGTGGAGGAACTGAGACTTGAAGGTCTAGGGTCATAAAGCACTAGACAGACAGACAGACAGATCCCTTTCCTCCGTGTTCTGTCTGGGGGTGGAGGATGGAGCTTTTGGGAGCACTTCCCTTTGTTTAGTCTCTCTGAAGCCCCCCTACCCCCGCCATCCTCCACTATTTCTGAGGTGTGTGTGTGGTGGGATGGGAGAGTGGGTGCCGCCTACGGAGATCAAGTTGGAGAAGCCCGGCAGAAGTTCCCCTCTGAGTGGCTCCTTTAAACACAGACTCTGTCCTGCAGCGCCATCTTGTGGCTGACTCTGGAATCTAGTGTCTTACTCCTGAAGCAGAGAACTTCGTAAAGGGTCTGGGGGTAATGTTGTGTGCTACACCCGGACCGGGGGAAGAATCTTTGTTTGTTTGTTTGTTTGTTTGTTTGTTTTGGTTTTTTCGAGATAGGGTTTCTCTGTGTAGCTCTGGCTGTCCTGGAACTCACTCTGTAGACCAGGCTGGCCTCGAACTCAGAAATCCGCCTGCCTCTGCCTCCCAAGTGCTGGGATTAAAGGCGTGCGCCACCACCGCCTGGCTCCGGGGGAAGAATCTTAAGAAGAGACATATCTGCCTGAGTAGCATGGAGTTGAGTATCAGTGCCTTTTTAGGAGGCATGGACAATGGACAGCAGTCTCTAAGACTGCAATCAAAGGATTACTTTGGGTTTATCCAGAGTCCTTGTGCAAGCTAGACAATACTGTACCACCGAGGAGCACCCCCAGTCTGACTTTAGTAACTATCCTATTGAGGACCATTCACTCTCCCCAATGCTGTCAGGTGCGATACTACATAGAGCTGCTTCTGAGGTTTAGAGAGGTCCAAGGTGTTTTTGGAACTGGGCATAGGGCTACCATAGGTAGGTAGGATCAGGAGAATTAGGAGTGCAAAGTCATCCTTGGATATAGACTTAATTTAAGGCCAGCCTGGGCTACATACGATCATATCTCGAAAAAAAAAAGTTACTGGTTAGTCTGTGGAGATCTGGCTTTGAATTCTGGGATCAGAGCCCATGTTTGGAAGACACCCCTGCTCCTGAGCACCTAGCCTCTGGGGCTATACTGCACCTCACCTGTCACCTGTGTTTAGTTCCAGGGCTCCGGAGGTGACGGGCACAATGCTTTGGGTCCTGGTGGGGGCTGTTCTCCCTGTCATGTTGCTGGCTGCCCCGCCACCCATCAACAAGCTGGCCCTGTTTCCGGACAAGAGTGCCTGGTGTGAGGCCAAGAACATCACACAGATTGTGGGCCACAGCGGCTGTGAGGCCAAGTCTATCCAGAACAGGTGGGACTCTGAGGGCAGGGGGTCGGGGGGAAGGGTGAGGACAGGGACCCAGGGAGGGGTGAGGAACACCGGGACTGCCCACCCCTGCCTTCCCTCTGGAGATCAGGCTCAATGACATTTCCTCCCACAGGGCGTGCCTAGGACAATGTTTCAGTTACAGTGTCCCCAACACCTTCCCGCAGTCCACAGAGTCCCTGGTGCACTGTGACTCCTGCATGCCGGCCCAGTCCATGTGGGAGATTGTGAGTACAGCTGCCCAATCCTGGAGCCATAACAGGAGGCCTTGGATACTTAAGAATGTGTGCGGGCTACAGGGTTCCTGCTGGGTCCTTGCCCCAGGGCTGCTCAGTCTGACACCAACCTGTAGAAGATTCCGGATATTTCCGAGGCTCGATCCATGTCACAGAGATTGCAGTTCTTCAGTCTCCACTCACTGTTACCAGAATCTCTGCTTTTCTCTGCCCCACTCAGCCCTGTTGGTCTGGCTCACCCGTCTCCCAGCACTCTCTTAGAACCTCCTTTCTCTTCGACAACTTGACACTTAGCAAGCCCACCTAACTTTAGTCCTTCTTTACTGCTCTGTTCTTTCCACCCCAGGATCTTTGCATATGCTCTTTGCTTTGCTCTGAACCACCATTCCTCCCTTTCCCACTCTCCCTCCCGCTTCCCTCAGCTAGTTAACTTCTACTAGTTCTTAGCTCCTGGCTCAAGTATTGTTTCTTCAGGGCACTGTTCCAGACCCTCTGACCCAGTCAAGTTGTGTCATAGGCTCTCAAGCGATGTGTACCTTTGCATTGGGCAACTGTCACATACATATACAGTTTTCCCAACATATCAGACACTTGTGCCCCACCTGCACCTGTGCCCTACCTGCACCTGTGCCCCATCTGCACCTGTGCCCCACCTGTACCTGTGCCCCATCTGCACCTGTGTCTCACCTGCACCTGTGCCCCACCTGCACCTGTACCTCATCTGCATCTGCGTCTCACCTGCACCTGTGCCCCACCTGCACCTGTGTCTCACCTGCACCTGTGCCCCATCTGCACCTGTGCCCCATCTGCACCTGTGCCTCACCTGCACCTGTGCCCCACCTGCACCTGTGCCCCACCTACACCTGTGCCCCACCTGCACCTGTGCCCCATCTGCACCTGTGTCTCACCTGCAGCTGTGCCCACCTGCACCTGTGCCCCACCTGCACCTGTGCCCCACCTGCACCTGTGCCCCACCTGCACCTGTGCCCCATCTGCACCTGTGTCTCACCTGCACCTGTGCCCCATCTGCACCTGTGCCCCATCTGCACCTGTGTCTCACCTGCACCTGTGTCCCACCTGCACCTGTGCCCCATCTGCACCTGTGTCCCACCTGCACCTGTGCCCCACCTGCACCTGTGTCCCACCTGCACCTGTGCCCCACCTGCACCCAAGAGTGGTCATGGGGTAGATGCTCTGTGGAAGAAAGGAGGGGGAGGGAGGAAGACAGTTCGAAGCATTACTACAAGGCAGGAGTTGGGGTGCTAAGGGGGTTGCTATAGAGTGAACTTGGAGTGGAGCTCAGACCCAAAAGTTGCCCAGAAGTTACTTGTGCGGAGTTTGAGGCCAGTGGGAGGATGGGTTGAGCCAGAACTTGCTACGAAGAAGGAAGACATTAGCAGTCTCTGGGGGCAGATGAGGCAGTGAGTTACTGTTAGTGCAGCAGGGTCTGGCATGGTGTGGTCAGCCCAGAACCAGCCTGTAGGGTCTGAAGACCTGAGAAAGGGGTCAGGATTTGTCTCCAAGTTCACTGGGAGCATAGTGTGTGTGTGTGTGGTGTGTGTGTGTGTGTGTTTACCCCCACTCTCACGCCAGGGGGAATGGGTAGGAAGGGTAGGGCTGTGTGTAAGAATATGAGAGATGTGAAAGAAGATGAGAGAGGAGGCTGGAGAGGTGGCTCAGCGGTTAAGAGCACTGACTGCTCTTCCAGAGGTCCTGAGTTCAATTCCCAACAACCACATGATGGCTCACAACCATCCGTAATGGGATCTGATGCCCTCTTCTGGTGTGTCTGATGACAGCTACAGAGTACTCATATACATTAAATAATCTTTAAAAAAAAAGTACATTACAGGAAGAAGAAGGAGAAATAGGAGCTTTCAGGGGCTCAGTCCCCTCAAGCCCCTCCAGATGGGTTAACAGAATGCTGGGCTGTCGCAGGTGGACTCTGGGATTCTTGGTTCTCAAAGATGTGTTATTTTGGGGGTCTGTCCACCTGCCCAAACTTCAGGAGACATCCCTTTTCTTCCTCCTGCCCCTCCCAGGTGACCTTGGAGTGCCCTGGCCACGAGGAGGTGCCCCGAGTGGATAAACTGGTGGAGAAGATTGTACACTGCAGCTGCCAAGCTTGCGGCAAGGAGCCCAGTCACGAGGGCCTGAACGTCTACGTGCAGGGTGAAGACGGGCCGGGCTCCCAGCCTGGACCACACTCCCACGCCCATCCCCACCCTGGTGGCCAAACCCCCGAGCCTGAGGAACCTCCTGGAGCCCCTCAGGTTGAAGAAGAGGGGGCTGAGGACTGAGGGCCCCCAACTCTTCCTCCCCTCTTGTCCCCTGTGGAATGTTGTGTCCCACCCTCCAGGGAAGAGGGAGGGGATAGGCAGAAGCCTCCCCTTCCCCTTTGGCATTGGATGGACTTGGAATGCTGCCTGGTTGCCATGGAGATCTGACGGGAGGGGCTGGAGCCAAGCCGCACAATTTAATATATGCAAGATGGGGGGAGGAAGCAAACATCCTCGGGACTTTTCTTTTGGAAGGTGAAGTGTGGTCTTTCCTTTCAGCCTTCTAGAGAGGAGCCCTTGGGATAGCTAGGAAGTGGGCTGAGCTGCTGAGGATGTGTGAGATCCTCAACTAGGGCAGGCCCAGGCTAGGACCCACACAACTAATGGGGCAGGATCCCCAGTGATGGGTAGAGGGTGGGTATCATGTCCGGATCACCGTTGCAGTAGGTTCTGGGTAGGAAGACCGCTGGCAGAAGTCGGAAGCTCCAGACCCATAGGTTTCCCTAAAGGCCTTCCTCAGTCTCCACTGCCAAAGAAGTAACCCCTTCAAAGGGATGGTTTAGGAGTCAGGCTGGGGCAGGACCCTGTTGACTCAGGTGCCAGAGTGTCACTGAAGAAGAAAGAAGATCCCTCCCGTCTCTCCCAGAGATTTTAGCTCTCTGCTTCCCATGTTCTGGACCCTTTAGGGAAGCAGCTGCAGCCCAGCCCCACTGTCTCTGGGGCCGGTCTTTCTGAAAGAGGTGATGGTCTATCTCCATCACCTGGGACCATAGCGGACAGGAGGCCCCTGCACAGGGACCCTGCTGACCTTGGCTTTCTCTAGCTCCCCATTCTACCCACTCCTTCCCAGCTGCACTTTAACCCTAGGGCAGGGCAGGTAGTGAGAAGAGCCCTCTGTCCCCTGATATGCTGACACCATGGTTTGTGTCCAGGGGGCTGCCAGCTCACCCCCTCCCTGGGGGTGCCCTGGTCCATGGCTGTTTGACAAGAGCCTTAGAGCTTGTAACCAGTAGCCATCTCCCCTGAACCCGAGTGTTCTCACGAATAAATGCCTTCAACGCCTCTATTCTCTTCCCTGTGGGCTGGCTCTCTTGTCCAAGCTGGTTGTGGGTCCATGGATGGAGGTTGGGTTTGGTCTGGGCAGTGTGGGACTGACCTGTGGTATCCCTGTATCCTCTGGTCCTCTCGCTTCCCTGACTTGGCACCACCTATGGCTCTGCTCCTCTCTTGGGTTTGGGTGTGCATTTCTGCCTTGCTTAAACGTGGCTGGACCTAGCCAGCTAGATCTAGACACTTGATCCCTTGGGATCTCTCTCGCCATCTCTTTACTTTCAGTGATCCAGCATGGGCCTTGGTACGTGTCACCAGCCTGGACCAAGCCCCAGAAAAAGATGAAACAGATGAACCCCCAAATCGAAGATTACAAGGTCGTGCCCTGCACTAGTCCATTTGCACAACATAAAATCATCTTACCTAGCCCTCGGTGCCAATTGGATCCTGAAAAAAAGAAAAAATAAATAAATAAATAAAATGAACATAAGTCAGTTATATATATATATATATATATATATATATATATATATATATATGCTTGAGGCATTTTAGGTGCAGAGATAGTCATCTCTCCAGGGCCATTTGTTAAATGCCACCAAGAATTAAACCCAGACAATCTGGGCCAGAATCCATGCCAAGTTTGGCAGGAGCATTCACCAGCCTGTTTGTGTGTGTGTGTTTGCGGGGGGTGGGGTTGGGGGACTGGCTCCTTTTCTGTGGCCATCTACTTGACTTGCAGCAGCTCACAGGTCTCCCAATGTCCCTTCAACATGGCAGTCAGAACACCAGCAATGAATTTGCTCCTAGAGGTCCCTGGCGCGGTACCTCTGAAGCCCTGTGCCTCAGGTCTGAGAGCTGTCTTACGAGCAGCTGTCTTTCTGTAGGCAGCTTCTTAGCTTGTGGAAAGATAATTCACCGAGACACAGGGTAGACACAAAGTGGGAAGGCGGCTGGCAGGCTGCTGGCAGACCCTGAATGGCAGCCAGAGCCGGAAACGTAGGATCTGCAGAGCTAGGTGTCAGAAAGACTTAGGGTAAATGAGAAGAGAGCAGCTGGAGACCAAAGGCCTGAAGGCAGCAGGCCAGCTGGTGGCGTGGGTACAAGGACCAGCGTTTTCTAGGGGCAGTGCGGTCGGAGAGGCTAGGCTATCTGAGAGAGGTAGGAGCCCAAGGAAGAGCAACCTCTCATAGGATGTGGAAATCTTGCCAGGGAGAGGAGCCAGATCTCAGGGATGAAAAAAAAATTGTGCATGTGTACCTGGGGGGTGCACAGACACATGTGCACGCCAGAAGACAACTGTGAGTGTCATTTCTCAGATGCCATTCATTTTGATTTGGGGACAAAGTCTCTTATTGACCTAGATAGAACTTAGCAAGTAGGCCAGTCTGGCTGGTCACTGAGTATCCCAGTCATCACCTCCCCAGCCCTGGAGCATGTCTTCTGTGTGTGTGCACACACACACACACACACACACACATATGCGTGCGCACGCGCACATGTGCATGTGTATGTAGACATATTATCTGTGTGTGCATTGTATCTGTGTGTGCATGTGCATAAACACATGTATGCCATTGTGTCAGAAAATGTTTGGGAGTTGATTCCATCATGTGGGCACAAGATATTGATGGATCCATCTCAGAGTCTCATGTTTGCATAGGACAAAATGGTTTTGTTGTTGCTTTTTTGTTTTTTGTTTTTGTTTTTTTTGACCAGGTCTTAGCCTAGGCAGGCTATGACTGTGAACTTCTGATTCTCTTGCCTCTGTCTCCGGAGTGCTAATACTACGGCTGTGTGCCACCATGCCTGATTTATCTAGAGCTGAGGATGAAAGTCAAGGAAGACTTCATGCGTCTAGACAAGCACTCTAGACCAGGTAGATCCTAGTCCCTGTCTTTGGAGGATGCTGTTCTGTAGCCTAGAGTTGGTTTGAACTTGTGGTCCTCCAGCCTCAGCCTCAAGAGTCCTGGGATTACAGGTATGTGCCAACACTCTGCAGAAAACAGAATTTGAGACGTCTCACAAGCTGCATCCACTTGAAGTATGTGTGTAAATGCATGTGTATGTCTGTGCATATATGTTTGTATATGTATGTGGGGTAGCGATTTCAGAGTTCTGCCTTCACCGAGCTCGAAATGAGCCACCAAGAGAACACAGGAACAACATTGCAGCCCCTCATCCCTTCCCACAAGCAGTGAGGGCTTTAGCATCTTTACAGCGTAGCAATCTAGACAAGATGGCTGCCTAGCTGGAGCTGGCTTTCCAGTCTTCTTTGGGACCAGCTAGCAACTGGTCCTTTCTTTGCTCCAGGACTCTGGGCAGGTCTGCGCTGCCTGGGTTCGAATCCTGGCAAGGTCACTTTCTAACTGTGATTCTTGGGAGATTACAGGTCTCTGGGGTTCAGTCTTGACATGTGTAGAATGGGAATTATTGCTCACGGTCAAGTCTACTCTCAGGGTGAGGATGAGCATGCTGGGAGTCAGCACACCGGCCAGCTCGGGGCAGCGCCCGCCATCAGCTCGTACCTTGGAAATATCAGCTTCTGTGATCATGGAGAATGAGTTACAGACCCACACTTGGAACAGATGGATCAATGATTTGTCCGCTTATCCATTCTCTTATTAGACAGTTATTTATTAAGAACCTAAACTGGGGGCCAAAGAGATGGCTCAGTGGCTAAGAGCATTGGCTGCTCTTCTAGAGGTCCTGAGTTCAATTCCCAGCAACGACATGGCAGCTCACAACTGTCTGCAACTCCAGTTCCAGGGAATCTGACACCCTCAAACACCAATGCATATAAAATATAAATAAATAAATTTAAAAAAAGAACCTAGACCGTGTTCATCGTGGTTTAGCAGTGAACAAAACCCAAGACCTGCCTGTGTGGAGGTGACTCTCACAGCACCTTCTGCAAGATGAGCTTCCAGCGGGACTCACAACCTCCACAGACCTTGGCTTGTCCCTCTGTGTAGTGGGGAGTTGTCTTGATCCTCTGTGGCTCCAGGCGTGGAGAGTGGAGCAGTGTTCTGACTTCCTGAGATAGTTGGTCTATTATCCCAAGGTGGTATTACTGCCTTCTTCCTACAGAAAGGCAGCTCACCGTGGCTAGGAGCAGCTAAGAAAGGGTTAAAATTTCTCAAAAGTCCCTCTGTACCTGTGGTCACTAGGAAGGCCTCTACTCTATCATCCATTCCAGGATGCAAAGGACAAAAACTTAAGTTCCAGGTGTTAACAGTGTGACCACAAGGTGGCACCACTCCGGGGCCAGTCTTAATTATAATTTTTTTTTCTTTTTCTTCTTTCTTTTTTTTTTTAAGACAGGGTTTCTCTTACCCAGACTATAGACCAAGCTGGCCTTGAACTCAAAGATCTGCCTCCTGAGTGGTGGGATTAAAGGTGTGTGTCATCACTTGCCCAGCTGAAAATAAACTTTTTAAGTATAGCACAGTGCAGATCATAATATAACAAAAATTTGTGAAGAATTGGTCACCTGGAATGAGCAAGTGTTAAAATGATCAGGTTTTGGGGGCTGGTGAGAAGATGGCTCAGTAGTTAAGAGCACTGACTGCTCTTGCAGAAAACCCAGGTTCAGTTCCCAGGGACCACATGGTGGCTCAAACCTGTCTAGTTCCAGGGAATCTGATGCCCTCTTCTGGCATTCCCAGACACTACGTTATGCAGTGTACATGTATTCCTACAGGCAAAACACCCAAATAAAACACAAATAAACATACAAATAAACTAAAAGTAAGTAAGTAAGTAAAATGGTCATGTTTTATAAGATGTGAAGAAGAGACTCAAATGGTCACCCCATTCACATCCCTGCTACCTGATGTCACAGCATGGAGAACTGGAGAGTCTTTGGCAGCCCAGCATGGTGGTGATGCTTGTAACCTAGTCCTCAGAAAACTGAGCTGGAAAATAGAAAATCTGAGGCTAGTGGGACTACATAAAACAAGCAAAGGAAACAAACACTACAAACAAGGCCCATTCAGAGGAGCTGGCTGAGCTCGAAGGTGCCTGCAGTTAAACCTGATGACCTGGGTTTAAGCTCCACCCCTTGGTCCCTTAGGGTGGGAGAGAACTCCTGAAGGTTGTCCTCTCTCCTTTCCCCCTCCCACCACACAGGCACACACACACAGGCACACACTGCAACACACACACACATACACACACACACACACAAAGTCACACACTGTACCATACACACAGACACATATACACACACACAGAGGCATATTCTGTAACACACACACAGAGGCACACACTGTACCACACACACACACACACACAGGCACACACTGTACCACACACACACAGAGGCACACACTGCACCACACACACATACACACACACACAGAGGCACACACTATACCATACACACATACACACAGAGGCACACACTGCATCACACACACAATTCCAAGACAAAACAAACCCTTTGCTAGGGGACTGAAGAGATGGCTCAGTGGTTAGGAACACTGGCTGCTTTCCCAGAGAACCTGTGTTTGATTCCCAGCACCCACATGGCAGCTCACAACCATGTGTAACTCTAGTCCTGGAGATCCGATGCTCTCTTCTGGCCTCCATAGGCACCAGACATACATGTAGGTAAGCAATCATAGGTAGGAGAAAAGAAGTAAAAAAAAAACAACAACAACAAAAAAACAACTTTGCCAGCTTTATAATCAAGTAACAGATTATGACTCTAAACCCAGATTACCCGGCTCCAAATGGATCTCTTGCTGTTCATGGCAGGCATCCTTGGGCTGTGAGAGGCACCTCAGGGAGAAACACCAATGAAAGACACAGATGCCAACAGCTAGCACAGACCCAGGACTGTCAGATCACACAGTGTCATTTACTCTTCCCTGACTCCCAGTGAGGCAGACACAGACTTCTGCTAACTATGGCTGAAGAGAAAAAAAGACCAAAGGACCAGCCGTCACTGGCTCTGAACGTGCAGCACCTACGGAGCAGCAGAGCTGGGATCTCAAGCCGATCTCTGACTCTCCATCCAGGGGTGACCTTCTGTTCCTCAGGCCATGTAGTGTGGAGTGAGGGATAGGGATCGTCCTTTGCATGTTGCCGCTGGCTCCACCCACCTTTGGTGTGAGTGGATACGGGTTGCTCTGCGGATTCCGACAGGAGGCATCTTGAGCACCTGATGTGGTCTCCTGCCTTGGGCACCCAGCGGATCTCAGCCCCACTTCCCACTTGGTTGCCTGGTGCTGGAGACCTCTGCAGAGGCTCTTGTCCACTCTGGGCCTCAGCTTAACACCATCTCTCTGGCATTTATATTTCTGGCATGTATATTCTGGCTTTATAGTTGGGGTGGGACTCTGGGTAGAGATATACCAGGACAAATAAAGGCCATGAACACAGTGGGCTCTTCTAAGTGGGAAGTATTTCCATTTCGAAAAAGACACCTACCAGGTTCTCTTCATACTGCTGTACATTTTCTCTCCTCTTTCGCCTCCTCTTCTTCCCTGTCCTCCTCCTCTCTCTTCTTTTTCTCCTCCCCATTTTCCTATAGAAATGATCACTTTACGTTTCCTTTGCCCGTTTCTTTTTTCTTTTTTAAAGAATTATTTGTTTTATGTATATGAGTACGCTGTCGCTATCTTCAGACACACCAGAAGACGGCATCGGATCTCATTACAGATGGTTGTGAGACAGCATGTGGTTGCTGAGAACTGAACTCAGGACCTCTGGAAGAGCAGTCAGTTCTCTAAACCACCGAGCCACCTCTCCAGCCCCCTTGTCCGTTTCTTGCCCGTTTCCTTCGGCTAGTAAGGAAGTTCACAGACAGGAAGCATCATCTAATGTAGTGTTTAGGTGGTCCAGAGCAGCACCTGGTACCTACTAGGCGTGAAGAAACTTAGTCATCACTAGGAGGCGCTATGCCTTGCCCCTGTTTGCAGTGACTACCCTTCCATTGGCTTGGAGATCCCCAAATCTCTCACATTGAGACTTGGAGCGTCAACAGGTCAAGGAGGGGGGCCTTCACCCAAATCACTCGGTGTTGTTGGAGAATCGGCGGGGGCGACTCAAAGGTGAAGAGTGGCAGAAATTATTTACCCATTGATACCAGATCCAGCAACTGAGGCTCAGAGGGATCTCAAAGGACTTGCTCGGTATTTCCCAGCTGGCTCCTCTTGAAAGCGTGGTGACTCTCACAGTGAGTGGCTCGACCCCCATTGGGGAGCAGTCTTTGGGTACATCCAGGTCACGTCCCCCTTCCTTGACTTCTGCCTGCGCCATCACCACATGTGGGCAGAGGAGCCTCAGGCGGAGGTGTGGGGGCTGCGGGCGCCCGGGAGCACTCGGAGCATCCTTCTCCAGGCCTAGGGTACCACGACCGGACTCGCCTGCTTGAGGGGCTCGGCTCTGCCCGCCCACCGCGGGGCGGGGCGCACGCTCGGAGCCTCCGGGACCGCGCGTGGCTGAAGCGTCGCGGGCTCCTGCGCGCTGTCTTCCCGGGCTCGGAAGCCCTATGCCCGCCGCGCCACCAGCCGCCGCCTGTAGTCTCCAGCCCTGCGGCGCTTGCCGCAGTCGCCGGCAGCGGATCACCCGCGAGCGCCCAGGTAGGGAGCGCGGGCGGGAGGCGGCCAGGCGAGCCGGCGCGGCCGGGAGGGCGGAGCTCCGCGCTGCGCACCTCTGCCAGCCCTGTCTCCCCGGCCAGGTCCGGCCCGGCCCGGTCCGCGGCCTCCGGTACCCGGGATCCCGCGGTGCCTCAGGGAGAAAGGAGAGCTGCTTTCCGCCGCCGAGCTGCGCTCCTGCTCTTGGGCCACACCATTGCGACCCCCACGCGCGACAGCTCGTGATCTAGCGTACTCACACGCCCACCCTCCTCAGAGAGACTGCTCCGGCCGGAAGGCGGGAGTTCGCCTCCTGCTCCCACCTCCCCAGCTGTGCCTCTGGGCAGGAGCCCCACCTCCATTTTCTGGCATCCCCGGTGGCTCTCTCCCATCCCAGGGCTCTCATCCAGCCCCAACCTAACTTTCATTGACTTGGCGCATCAGTACCCCTCCCCAAACTTCTTACCTGAGTACTCTAGGTGGCCCTGCCATAGGAGGCGTCCCTACAATCCCTCCCCAACCTCTTGTAATTGCTGCTGGGTGACCTAAGAACCCCGTTTTGCCACCTACTCCACTGAGGTGCAGTTTTTACCCAGCTTCATTTCTCTTCCTTTGGCTTCACCCTGTATCTGCATTCACTATATCCCGTCCTGGTCCTCAACCCCAGTCCCCATGGTTCCAGAGCCCGGCCCAGTCAACAGTAGTACCCCAGCTTGGGGTCCCGGGCCACCGCCTGCCCCAGGGGGCAGCGGCTGGGTGGCCGCCGCGCTGTGCGTGGTCATCGTGCTGACAGCAGCCGCCAATTCACTGCTGATTGCGCTCATCTGTACGCAGCCCGCGCTGCGCAACACGTCTAATTTCTTCCTGGTGTCGCTCTTCACGTCGGATCTGATGGTGGGGTTGGTGGTGATGCCCCCAGCCATGCTGAATGCGCTGTATGGGCGCTGGGTGCTAGCTCGCGGCCTCTGTCTGCTTTGGACCGCCTTCGACGTGATGTGCTGCAGCGCCTCCATTCTCAACCTCTGCCTCATCAGCCTGGACCGCTACCTGCTCATCCTCTCCCCGCTGCGCTACAAGCTGCGCATGACAGCCCCGCGTGCCCTGGCGCTCATCCTGGGTGCCTGGAGTCTCGCGGCGCTGGCCTCCTTCCTGCCTCTCTTGCTGGGCTGGCACGAACTGGGCAAAGCTCGAACACCTGCCCCTGGCCAGTGCCGCCTATTGGCCAGCCTGCCTTTTGTCCTCGTGGCGTCCGGCGTCACCTTTTTCCTGCCTTCGGGTGCCATTTGCTTCACCTACTGCAGGATCCTGCTGGCTGCCCGCAAGCAGGCGGTGCAAGTGGCCTCGCTCACCACGGGCACGGCTGGCCAGGCCTTGGAAACCTTGCAGGTACCCGGGGTGGGTTTGGGGAGACCTGGCTTTCGGGATGGGGAGAAATAAACCGCCATTAGGAATCCACTGGGTGACTGCCTCATAGTAAGCGCTGGCTGCTAATCCTATAAGGGCGATGGCTATGCTTTTCTGATGAATTTCAAACTCTGACCGTGGTGGGATGTGCGGACTGTGGTGAGCTGGGTATGGAGGAGGCCACATCCTGTATCACATGTGGAAAGCATCCTCTCTTCCTCATGCTCACACTCCTTTCTCTGGGCCTGTTGGTCCTGCCTTCTAAATAAGCATGCCTTTGCTAGCCATCCCTAGTCTAAGCCACTGTCACCTCTCACAAGGCACAAGCCCAAACTCCTTGTGTAGCTGATCTCAAACTGGTGATCTTCCTGCTTCTGCCTCCCAAGTTGTTGGTACTATAGGTGTGCACCACCATGCCTGGCTTAAGGTTTTTGGGTTTGCTGTTCCCTCTGCCTCAGTGCCTCTGCCCGGAGCTGTTCTCTCTGACTTCTTTTCAGCCCATTCTTCCTAGGCTGACCCTGACTTCCAGGTCTGAAGGTCCACTGCCTCCCTGATGCTGTTGCTGCGGCTGGCTCCCTGGCTTGGGGGCTATGTGAGGCTAGGTCAGTTTTGACCCCTCAGTACACATAGCTTAATAATTACCTATGAATGGGTCAGGCCCTTTAGGTCAAGCAAGCACAGCTGCTTTTGACATACAGGTCACGCTGGGCTCCTGGCTGAGGTCCACCCTGGCTGGTGAGATGTATGTGCCCGAGGCTTAAGCTCCTGAGACTTAGGTCTCTAACCTAAGCGCCTGGCTTAGTTTAAGGTCCCAGCTACTCTCTGCAAGGACATCCCATAACCTCAGGTGAAGGAGGTTCATGGAGGTTGGTAGCCTTGGAGTCACTGAGCAGCAAGGAACTTGGCTGAGGTGGAAAGATTGTAGCCTCCTGCAGCCGGGCTGCAATGCCATGAAGGAGACTTGAACTTTCAAGGTCCAGTCACCCAGGACAGCGGTGTCTGGAGCGGACAGGAATCCTGGCTGCAGTCCTCTCTGTTCCCAGGCTGTAAGTAGTCGTGATACAGTCAGGATGGATGTGGGCCTTCCACACTCTTTCCTTAGAACTTTGGTATTTTCTTTTGCTTTTGTTTTGTTTGTTTGTTTGTTTGTTTTTTGTTTTTTGTTTTTCGAGACAGGGTTTCTCTGTGTAACCCTGGCTATCCTGGAACTCACTCTGTAGACCAGGCTAGCCTCGAATTCTCGAACTCAGAAATCCACCTGCCTCTGTCTCCCAAGTGCTGGGATTAAAGGCGTGCGCCACCACCGCCTGGCTCTTTTGGTTTTTCAAGACAGAGTTCCTCCACATAGCCCTGGCTGGCCTGTAGAGCAGGCTGGCCTCGAACTCGCAGAGATCTGCCTGCCTCTGCCTCCCGAGTGCTGGGACTAAAAGCCTGCCACCATCATCACTGCTTGTATTCTTTTTTTTTTTTTGGTAAAGACTTTACTCTTGCTTGGTGATTTGCTCCTAATTTTTTGACTTTCCATTTGTTGGCCTGAGGATAAGGGGTGATTGCACTTGTGTGAATTTCCTGGCCTCAAAGGCTGGTGGTTTCTCCCCAGGAACCCCCTAATTGAGTGACCTACAAGTTAGTGATGTAAACAGATAATAGCTGAGTCTCCACACAATGAGGACTTGTTTCTTATTCTGCAAAGATGTCAGATGGTTCAGTGGTTAGGAGAGCTTGTTGCAAAGTCACGAACACTGGAGTTCAGATCCTGGTACTCGAGTAACGAGCCAGGCATCCCACAAACACTCGGGACTCCAAGGTATCAGGTTCTGTCTCTTGGATTCTGTGTACGTGAGGGTGAGCATGCAAGTGCACACACACGAATGCACACACACACATGCACACACACACATGCACACACACACACATGCATGCACACACACACACACACACACACACACACACACACACACAAGAAAAACAATATTAAATCCACACGGAAGCCCCTGGGTTCTTGAAGCTATTGATCAACTGTGGCACAGGCTCTCCGGGGTCTACCACTGAGCTCCACCCTTGCTCTCAAAGATTTTGTAAAGGAAAGAGAATGGCCTGGGGGTGGGGGTGGGGGTATCTCTCCTACCCTTATCTTTTTACTTCCACATTTGTGTTCAGAAAGAAAAGTTCCCATCTCTTCCACAAAAGAAAAGCCAGTAACTCCTGCCACAGGGAATCACAGGAAACACAGGGCAGGGATGTCAGAAGGGCCCAGCAATGTCACTGAAGAGCTTTTGTCTGTTATGCCTGGAACCTGAGACTAGCTTTCTCACTGTGAGTTGGGAGAGGGTTATTAAGAACAAAGAACATGTTCTCTCTTGCCGGAGGACAGCTTGCAGCTCACACCCTATTTTAGTATTTTAAAATTATTATTATTATTATTTGGGGAAGGGTTTCAAGACAGGGTTTCTCTGTGTCCTGGCCATCCTGGAACTCAGTCTGTAGACTAGGCTGGCCTCGAACTCACAGAGATTCACCTGCTTCAGCCTCCTGAGCGGTGGGATTAAAGGTATATGCCACACTGCCAGGCTTTAATTTACTAGTATTATGTATTATGTATTATGTATTATTATTATTATTATTATTATTATTATTATTTGTATGTGTGTGTGTGTGTTTGTGAGTGTGCACATGTGTGTGCCATAACAGGACAGAAGACAAGGTTCAGGAGTCTGTTCCCTTCTCCCATCACTCGGGACCTAGGGGTCTAGTGAGGCTCTGTGCAGGGCCTTCACCTTCCATGCCTTCCCACTGGCTCTGTGAGTTTTTAAACTGTTCACCTGCATCTGAAAAGTCCTGATCGCCCATCCTGGAGGACACTCTGTACCAGAGATCAAGGATGTTAGAAGTTGGGCTGTCAGGTGGTCTGGTCTCAGCAGGGCCCCGACACAGATGTTCTTTTGGTGAAGTCAATCAGCTGGTACCAGGGTGGCACCTGGTGACCTCAGGGCCTTCGAGGAGCCTCCTCCACAGCCTCGCCATTGTCTTGAGCTCACTCTGTCCGGCACCAAGCTTTGTCTCCAAAACCCCTGCCGAGTGAGCAACACTCTCTCAGCCTTGCTTGATGATAGGTAAACTGAGGCTCAGGGAGAACAGGTGTGGCTAAGCGATGTTTGCTCAGTGACATTTACCATGTCCCCTATTGGCTGCTTCTTGGGTCCCTCTGAGCATCGATCTGTAACCTGGTCTGCTCCCCGGGGCTCCGATCTGGTTCTCTCTGGCTCTGTCCCAGCATTCTCTCTGTAGTGGTTTTGTTTTGTCTCATGCCTGGAAATACTGCCTAGGTGCTGCTAGGCCAAGCCCTGCCCAACCAAGTACAGACAGAACTCTGATCTTTCCAGACTCCCGACTTGGCCCTCAGGGTCTTTTCCATGTCAGTGAACGGTGACCTCCTTTTTCTGGTCTCACAGGCCAGGAGTTCTGGAGGCAGCCTGGATGCTTACACTAGGTACCCAGTCCTCTCTTCTCTACCTGTGACACATATCCAGGCAGGGTACCACTGCCATCCTGGGGCTAAGTCCTGTTATGGATGCCTGGGTTACTATAGTAACCTTCTAACTGACAGATCCCGTCAGTTAGAGCTATGCTCTCTGTTGGCCTTACAGCTCTCGACCTGAGACTTCCTGATCCATATCTAGGTTACCCTCCTTTCCCTCGGTTGCTCTTCCTTTCAGCCACACTGGCCTCCTGGCTATTCCTTGAGCATCATACACTTTCCTGTCTCAGGACCTTTGCACCAGCTGTCCCCTCTTTCCTTTCCACATAGTCCTTCCTCAACTTCTGTCCTGCCTTCTGGTTTCTGTTTTCGGGCTTCTGAGTAGGAAGTGCTGTCCTCCCAGGCTAGGTCCTTCCAGGCCTGCTGCTTCCAGTGGACGGATAATTGATTGATGGACCCTCTTGGGTAGGAATCGGGCTTTAACAAGAGCTTGTCATGTTCGCTGCCCTAGTACCAGCATCCAGAGCCATGTGGAGCCTCTCCCAACCTCCCAGCCTGTGTTTGTGATGGGAAGGAAATGGACACGGAGCTTCAGAGAGCTGTGGCTCACACTGGGGCTTATTCTCACACCCTGTGGGCTCACTCATACATGGAATGGCTCAGGTCCTAATCTTTTCACATCATTTCGTTAGCCCAATCAGTGACATGCATTGAGAACCTACTGTGTGCAGGAGCTACCTACTGTGTGCAGAAGGTTTTTTTTTTTTTTGCTTTTGGAGAGGTCCTACCCTGCTTAAATTTATGCCAGTTGTAGAGATGAACTTCAACCTTAAGCACTAGCAAAGTAGAGCTTAGACAAGGGGAGGAGACACCCCCAAAGTCATGTTCTATGTGTAGCTAAAGGCCAAGACAGAGAAGGCACAGTGGACCCTGAAGGCAAAGTTTGGAAGACATCCCTTCTGTCCCCAAAGTCATCATCCTACCTCGGCAATAAGAGGATCCACCTGGTTCTCAAGCCAGAGGCGTGTCTGTTCCATACCTCTCACCTCTCCTCCCACTGAACACCTGCTGGAAAGCCTGTCCTTATGCCCCCTCATTGCCCCTATTTTTTTGGGAGCCAGGAGGTTGAGACAGAGTCTATGTAGTCCTGGCAGCCTGGAACTTGCAGACATCCACCTGCCTCTGCCTTCCAATTGCTGGGATAAGAGTGTACCACCATGCCTGGCCTCGTGGTCTTTTAACAACAGTATTTTATTTTTAATTGTGTATCTGTGCACACAAGCGCATACTTGTGAGTACAGGTGTCTTCGGAGGCCAGAGGTGTTCAGTCCCCTGGATCTGGAGTGTAGCAGATGTGGGTGCTTGCTTGGAACTGAGCTGCAGTCCTTGGCAAGCACAGAGCATGCTCTTGACTGCTGAACGGTCCATCCAGCCCAGAACCTGTTCTCTTGGCTGCTGAAGCATCAGTCCCTCCACCATCTGGCTTTCAAAGCCGCTTGTAGAC